TGTGTATGTATTTTCTACATATTAGTAGACTCTAAAATCGATTCTTCTTGAATGCCCCTTGCAATGCTGCATAAAGAAGTTTAGTGCGTACATTTTATGTCAACATCTCTTGTACTATACCCTTGTGCGAACTCTCTGAAAAGATCCCCCAATACTTCGATAGGACGTCCCGGTTTGGGTCTGTTTTAAGTCTCTTGTGGGTTCCTGCTGGTGTGGAAAGAATATCTCTGTTCTGTGTCAAAACATTAATAACTTCATCAGAAAATGGAATCCTGTTGTCAAGCTACGAGTTATTTTCTTTAGAAACCCGGAAAACACGTGTTTACGTTCTTATAACGTTCTCGGCGAATGTTGTGGTTAGGTATGTCACTAAATAACGTTTACACAACGTTGTAGGAACGTGCAAACGTTGTGAAATTATGTTCAGTATGTATTTATGGTTCTACAAAATAAAGTTTTCAAAACAAAACTGTAACGTTATTGTCACGTTAGCATAACGTATTATTGTTTGCTGGGAAGGTCGTTAGTACTCGCGTAGTACCGTAGCTCACCAATCCTTAAGTTGAAACAGGAAGCTTTTCAAAGTCTTGGATGTGTTTGAATAAAGTTAAAAACAATTGACGCCTAGATATAGGCCTGCTTGTAGATATCATCTTCATTATGATATATGATATTTGGATTATTAGACTGCTCAAAATTTAATAAAGTATTCTAAACAGCAACAAAATATTAGAAGATTTGCTACTGTTAAATCACGAGCAGTTTGTCAATTTTTGAAGTGCTTTTCCCACGCTTTGCATGAACTAGTTGAATAGCATAGACGCGCGTACATCCCTCTGATTTGCGGTTTGCTCTAATTAAATTGTGTCTCAAATGTTCGAAAACAAGACTGATAAAAGTGCGTCTAGCGGCGCAAAGTTGCCAAAAGTAGCAGCTAAATTTTGTACCATCATAAAGCTAAGGCTATACTGAAGATGGTGATGTAAAAATTAAAGCATGAATCCATATGAATCTCTCCTACTTTTCTAAAAATAGATTTTTAAATATTTTTTCTGTCGTTTAAACAACGATTTATTATTGATGCAAACTTCAAATTTAAACCAAAACATATATTTGTGTTCCCCAATTTCTATACAAGAAACCTGTGAATTTTGAAGTAATTCCGAATTTTCTGTAAGAAAAAAAACGTGTTTAGATATAATGTAGTCAATTATAGCATTTGAAATATTTATAGAGAAATTTCCGACATTTGTTGAAAAATACTACCCTTAAAATTCGTTTAAATGTAAAATATTTTCAGGATAGATTCACCAGGGTATACCCATCTTCAATCATGTGAAAAAAAGTGTAAAAGCCATAGGCCTAGTCACCAAAATGGAATTTTGGCACACTTTGATTTCGCCCTGGCCCACTGTGCGCTGGTGCTTGGCCACTCCCCTTTGTCTTCGTTTGGTTTGACGCAGATAACAATCTAATCTACCTGCCCTTTCGATGACCGAAGTTCATGTTAGCAGACGGTTATGATAAATTGGCTATTTGCAGATGACGTTAACGCCGACATTATATCGAAATTTCAACAATGGCGACTAGGCCTAGTAGTAGGCCGAGGTTTCGTGTATAGAGACTAGTTCAGCAGCGTGTTTAGAGCGTGTGAGGCTGGCTTTTTTAGCGTGTGTCTATTCCTTTTGTCGGCCGCCGATGATTCATCTAAAGACGCGTTTGATTCATCAGTCGTACACCTTCGTGCTGCTTTTGTATTAATTAAGGCACTAGGCCTAGTCGTTCACAATGGCGTCGTGTAGTAGTGTGGAATTTCGATATTCAATTGTTGAAATCATACTGCTTTTCTTGGCCTGTGGAGCAAACTTGGCTACATTGGCATTTATATCGATGTCAAGAGTAAGTATAATTTATACATTCGAAAATTGGCCTTAGTTTAGGCCTTGCCTATTAGTATAGTAATTTTTTGCTACATTCCAGCTATCATCAGCGCCACGAGTTAATGCCACCCTAAATGCACACTTGTCAGGGGAGAATTTAGAGGGGAGCAGGCCTTGCCCGTCGCCCTTTCGGAAAGTCAAAAAAAAAAAAAAAAAAAGAAAAAGAAAATAGAAAAAAAAAAAAAATTAATCGCCCAAATGGCTTGAGGTGATTTTCGGGCGACTAGAACACAGAAATTTCGCGGGATTATTCCCCCGGACCCCTAGGGTATTGTTATCTCGATCGGTCCCACTTTAGGCCCCCTTCTGACCCCCTTTTTGGACATTTCTGGATTGTGTAAGGGTCTATACAATCCTATACCGTACTACCGTATAGGACTATTTAGTAGCCCTACTTCTTGTTTATAAAGGGCACCACTTATTTTTATACCTCCCTGGGCAAACCAAGGCATACAATAAGTTCCCCACC